CACCCATCCCAGTTTGCCCAGAGCTGCAGCCCCGGGGCGGGACAGGACTCACCGTTGATGACTGGAGTGAAAACTGCCATCCCAGCGAAGTTGGGATCCGACACCGTCCTGTCCAAAATGAGCCCCCCGACGCTGCAGGGGGAGAGGGGTGAGGTCAGAGCTGGGCTAAGGCCAGGGGGGCTCTGGGGACGGGGCCAGCCCACCTGCTGATGGCCATGGCGACGATGACGGGCTCCCAGCCCGAGTACAGCACCTCCCGCGTGGCAGAATTCCTCCTGGCAATGACGACCCAGATGGGCAGCAGGGACAGGAAGAAGGCACACACCAAGGGGTTCACGTACACTTTGCTCTCTGGGCAGGGGGGACAAGGAGGAGAAGAAGCAGAGAAATCAAGGCCATGTTGTTGCAGAATTTCTGAGAGAGAGAGGGGGCATGATTAATGTCTGGAGTGAGAATTGACTAGAAAACTGCACAGGCCCTTAAAATTAATAAATCAGTTTAATGCATATGGATATATCTTTTATGCATGTGCAGCAGGTTAGAAGATAAATAGACTCAAGAATTTTCAGAAGTGCACGTGTCCTTAAGGAACTGAAATAAATCATACCAATTTTACAACTTTTACAAATTGTGGAGGTTTTTCCCTACTGTCCCAGATTGCCTGATAAGCGGCCTTGACGCGGCCTAGGAGCCTTTGACGCAGTAAGAAATTGTGGCACAGTCAGAAATTATGTTAAGGTAATTACAAAGTAATGAGCTATATGAATGTAAATTAGAGCTGTAGTGTGAAAAGCCTGACCACCTTAAGGCAAAGACAAACAATGTTAGCTTGCCAATCAGAGTGCCTTTGTAAGCTGTAAATTATATAGAAGTGTATAAAAACTGCCATCTTCTCTTGAATAAATGCAGAATGTAGCATTAATCATATTGGTTTGACGTGCATTCTGTCCTGTCCACCTTTCCTGTTTTGAGGACCCTGAGTTCACCACGTCCCTCAGGAGCTCCAGGAAGAGCAGGGAAAGTCCAGGCCAGCCTGGGCTCTGCAGGACCTGGTGGTTCCTCGTCGCAGCTGTAGCCTGAAAAAGGCTTGGATGTGTTCACCAGCAGATCTGGGGGAGATCTCTGCAATTCCAGCTGCTCATCCCCACTTCCCAGCCCTGGGCAGGATCTCCCAGCGCTGCTTCCTTCACCCCTGGATGAACCTGGCTGAGTCACGGCCCCGAGTCCCAGGGAAGGAGGAGGAGGAAGGAGGAGGAACCTGGGAGGCTCCAGCTCAGCCCTGCCCTGAGGATCCCCAGCTGGAGCTGACAGCTCAGCAGATGGAATCCAAATCTGCCTTCTCCCACTGCTCCAGCCCCAGCCCAGCCCCTGCAAGGGGCCAACCTCTCCCTGAGCACCCCAGCTGGAGAGGAGGAGGTGTGCAAGGCAGCGAGAAGCTCCATCCCCTCCCCTAACCTGAACGAGGCCTGAGGGAGCTCCAGAGAACCCCACACACCCCAAAAAAGATGATTGCAGAGGAAGAGGGTGAAATGAGAGGGAGACCCTGCAAGAACCAGGAAGACACTTTTTGCTTTTTTTTTGCTGCCTTTTGCTGCTCCTCACCCAGCTCCTTGTACAAGCCCCAGCTGATCCCTGACAGCAGAGCCAGCGTGATGAGGTCCCCCAGGCTGGCAGCGATCGGCGTGGCCACGTTGTCAGGATTGATCCCCATCTTCTTGGAGCCCACGATCACCCCAATCATAATCATGCCTGCAGCCAGAAAGAGGCAAAAAAACCCCAAAAACCCAGGGTAAGGCCAAGGGGAGTTTAAAATCTCAGCAAGAGGTGCACAGAGGGGTGACTCTCACCCAGGATTAGGGAGGCAATGAAGGCAGTGGCCACGCTGCTGGCACACAGCAGCACAGCGTGGTCCATGCTGAAGTGCCCATCTGGGATCCAGCCGAACACCACGGCTGCGATGGAGGCCAGGAAGCCAACCACGGTGGCCTGGACCTGGAAATGGAGAGCACAGGGTCAGCAAGAGACCAAAACAGCCCCAGGGTGTGGGAGAGCTGGAGCGTGTCCAGGGGAGGCAGCGAGGCTGGTGATGGGTTTGGAGCACAAACCCTGTGAGGAACCCCTGAGGGAGCTGGGGGTGCTCAGCCTGGAGAAAAGGAGACTCAGGGGTGACCTTGTCACTCTGCACAGCTCCTGAAAGGTGCCTGTGCCCAGCTGGGGCTGGGCTCTTTCTCCAGGAGCTGACAGAACCAGAGCACACAGCCTCAGCTGCACCAAGGGAAATTTAGCTTGGATATCAGGAAAAAGCTTTTCACAGAAAGAGTGATAAAGTTCTGGAATGTTCTGCCTGGGGAGGTGGTGCAGTCCCCATCCCTGGGTGTGTTTAACAAAGCCTGGCTGTGGCTCTGGGTGCCAGGGTTCAGTTGAGGGTCCTGGGGCTGGGCTGGACTCGATGATCTCCCAGGTCTCTCCAATCTGGTGATTCTGTGAATTCTGTGAGTTCTGTGAGAGGTTGCCCAGAGCAGCTGTGGCTGCCTCACCCTTGGAAGTGCCCGTGGCCAGGCTGGAGCAGCCTGGGACAGTGGAAGGTGTCGCTGCCCATGAGAAATGCATCAGCTGGTTGGAGTTCTGCATGCTGAGAATTTGAGACTTTCTGTGCTGACAGACTCTGACTCCCAGGGGAGCACTGCACTGACCCGAGGCTGTGGGGAAGGCTTCCAAAATGAATTAACAGCACTGGGATTATGGGTGTGGAGCTAGTTAGAAGTGTGTAATGTCACAGGATGAAAAACTTAGGAGTTTGGGGTTTTAGAATATAGAAATAAATATGAATCAAGATGGAGGTTTTAGGGCGGAGGCAGGTTGTTCTTCACCTTCTTCTCCATGGGTTTGGGTGGTGGTTTGTCAGAAAAGTCCACAGTGCAGGCTTCAAGGGATCAGTTATTGGGTTAAAAAGGAAAATAATTTAGGTGTCATTTCTTAATTGGATAGTTTAGCCTCAAATGACCTTGTAACAAGAGATAGTTGGCCATTTTGTGCCTGGTTAGTGAAAGACTGCAGAACTCGCTGCTGTAAGACTGGACCATTGATAGAAATAACAAACACCTGTGTCTGAACATTAAATGCCATCTGAAGTGCCTTCAATCCCCACCCCAACAGAGGCAGAAAAAGGAAGCCAAAAACTGACATGAGCTTTAAGGTCCCTTCCAACCCGAACCATTCCATGATTTCATTCTATGATTCTAAGAAGGAAAACCCCACCCAGGGGGATCAGAATCCAGCATGGCAACAGCCAGTCCAACCTGCAGGGCCACAGAGGTGCCACCTGCCTCCCCATGAGACACAGAATATTGACAGCAAACAGCAAAACCCAGGCATTTAAACCTCCCACACTTGCCAAAGCTGGGCTTGCCCAGCTCTAAATATTGCCCTTCCCTCTGCTTACCTGTATCAGAGCCATGTTCCCTGTAATCATCTTCCAGAGCTCTTTGGGTGTATCTATTTGGCCAATATTAGCCTGCCAGAGGAAATCAGACAGCATTAATTACAGCCTGGCAGCACTTCATACCTGCTAACAGCCAAACTCCTGCGTGCCAGGAGCAGGAGGGGACCTCAAACCCTCAGCTCTTACAGCAGAATAATCCAGCAGCAAAGGGAGCCAAGGGGAATCAACAGCAACCAAAAACCTGCAAAAGCAGCGAGATCCCTCTGTGCCCCTGCAGCCCCACGCTGCTCTCATGGCTCTCACTCTGCTGGCACAGCCACGCCTGGCTGGCACCCAGCTGGGTCAGGCTGCCCCTCGGGCCAGGGGCAGAGCCCCAGGTCAGAGCAGCAGCACTGGGGCACGGTGGGCAGCAATCCCTCCTGGGACTGGGGAAAGCTGAGCAAACAGAGCTGGGGACACAGAGAGGAGCAGGCAGCAATCCCTTCTGTTCCTGGGGAAAGCTGAGCAAACAAAGCTGGGGACACGGAGAGGAGCAGGCAACAATCCCCTTCCTGCTCCCAGGAAAAGCTGAGCAAACAGAGCTGGGGACACAGAGAGGAGCAGGCAGCAATCCCTCCTGGCTGGGGACACGTGGGGGCATGGAGAGGAGCAGGCAGCAATCCCTCCTGGTCCTGGGAAAAGCTGAGCAAACAGAGCTGGGAACATGGAGAGGAGCAGGGAGCAAACAAGGCTGGGGACACGTGGGGACACGGAGAGGAGCAGGCAGCAATTCCTCCTGCTTGGGGACACGGAGAGGAGCAGGCAGCAATCCCTCCTGGTCCAGCAAAAACTGAGCAAACAAAGCTGGGGACACGGAGAGGAGCAGGCAACAATCCCCTTCCTGCTCCCAGGAAAAGCTGAGCAAACAGAGCTGGGGACACGGAGAGGAGCAGGCAGCAATCCCTCCTGGTCCTGGGAAAAGCTGAGCAAACAAAGCTGGGGACACGGAGAGGAGCAGGCAGCAATCCCTCCTGGCTGGGGACACGTGGGGGCATGGAGAGGAGCAGGCAGCAATCCCTCCTGCTTGGGGACACGGAGAGGAGCAGGCAGCAATCCCTCCTGGTCCAGGGAAAGCTGAACAAACAAGGCTGGGGACACAGACAGGAGCAGGCAGCAATTCCCCTCCTGTTCCTGAGAAAAGCTGAGCAAACAGAGCTGGGGACACGTGGGGACATAGAGAGGAGGAGGCAGCAATCCCTCCTGGCTGGGGACACAGACAGGAGCAAGCAGCAATCCCTCCTGGCTGGGGACATGTGGGGACTTGGAGAGGAGCAGGCAGCAATCCCTCCTGGTCCAGGGAAAAGCTGAGCAAACAAGTCTGGGGACTTGGACAGGAGCAGGCAGCAATCCCTCCTGCTTGGGGACACGTGGGGACACAGACAGGAGCAGGCAGCCCTGGCCCAGGGCTCAGCTGGCACAGGGAGAGGCTGAGCAGGATGAGTAGGATAAAAAAAAACACTCAGTAAATATCACCGTGGGTGATACCAACCAGGAGCAGGAGGTGGAAATGGTTTTAATTCCTGGTGTAGGATCCAAAATAACCCAGAGGAATTGCTGCAGGGCACCAGCTCTGCTCCTCCCTGCCACCTCCAGGGTCTTTGAGGGAAGAATGGGTGAATTTATATCCAGTTTGCACCCTTAGAAGCTGATGAGCTCAGGAAACAAGGGAGAGGCTCAAACACTGGAGTGGGAAATGCACGTTGGAGTGCATTTTGAAGGAATGCATTTTGAATTTTTAATGAGTTAGAGATGGGACCTCTGAGTTTCTCAGATTATGGGATTTATTTTTCTTATCTTCTACATAGACAGGAAGGGTAAGTTTGGCTCACATCTTCACTGTATGGCTCAGAAAGTCTCAAGACCCCTAGTTATAAGACCTTTCAAGGATTTATTGACCAATAAAACACTGCCAACAAGGATATTTATGTTCTTGACCCAATCTTTAAATAATTTAATCTTATGGACTCATGCTACAGTGTAATTATGCTATGACACACAAACCTACAGTACTGCATCCTAAATTTCTCCAAACTTGTGCACAACACCACAGCAGCAATTTCCTCCTCTCATGTGGTAAATAAAACAAGAAATAATTGATTAATTAATCCCCACACTCTCCTTGCTGGATGTGCTTTACTGAGATGCTCCCATCTCTGAAGCAAATCGTTCTGGGCAGAGAAGAGGAAGAAATTTGGGGGAAAACCAACAAAAAGTTGACTGGAGCAGCACAGCCAGCACAGGAATTTGAGCCCCATGTGAAGCCTGACCTTAAAATTCCAGCCACATGGCAATTAGGCTGGGATTAACATAACCTGGCTGTAATCACTTAATCCTTTAACTAACGGGGGAGTTTTGCCTCTTAATTGTGAAAGGAATTTCTGAGGTGCCTTAAAGCAGCACTGATTAGAAACCCAGAGTCTGAGAAGCCACTGCAGGCTGTGCAGAGAGGAGCTCCTGAAACAGCCCTGGGAGCAGAGACCCTCCTGGGCCACCGGGCACCCCTGTGCCACCAGCACGGGCACCTGGATGATCCTGGAGAGGCTCCGCACCTCCAGGACCCCGTTTCATGATTCCATGATTTTAAGGAGGCACGGGAGGGAAGGCAGCGGCCAAAGGCTCTGGGGGTCAGCTTGGGGACAGGAGGCAGCAGGACAGGAGCTGAGCTGGTGTCCCTGTCACCCCCCTGCAGCCACCAGGGCAGATGGGGCAAAGTTCTGCATTCCTGACTTGGTTTCTCTGCCAGGGCTGCTCCTGCCAGCCCCAGGGGGGACACGCAAGTGCCAACAGTGTCCCAGGCACTCCCCCTGAGCAGCCTGTGGCCAGAACGTGGCCAGGGGGGACAGCAAAAATCCCAACAATGGAGAGGGAGTCACACAAAGGGATTTGTTTTGTTTGTTTTTTCCCCAGAGAGAAGGGGCAAACAAAGCTCAGCCTCTGTCCGGAGAGGAGAGGAAGAGGACAGAGAGGAGAGGAAGAGGACAGAGAGGAGAGGACCTGGCCTGCCAGAGATGCAGAGATAGCCCTGTGCAGCCCTGCTGTGCCTTCCCTGCCCAAAATTTGGGAATTTGACCTGCCCAGCCACCACCCCTGCCCAGGGAGGGCTCCCTGTGCCCCCAGCACTCACAGCTGTGGACAGGCGGGATGCCAGCGTCATCTCCAGGTTCCCCTTCAGGCCCAGCAGAGCAGGAACCAGGATGAACACCTCGGTCACCTGTTTGAAGACGTCCCAGTGCTGCAAAATTAAAACCAGCAAAAAAACAGAACCAGTAAATCCCAGCGTGGGCGATGCCAGCCTGGGCTCGGGGCACACACCCCAGTGCCCTCCCTGCTGCCACACGGGGAATTCTGCCTGGCAGCTGTGCCCACAAAATGTCACACAGCCGGGGGCCCCAGCAGGGAGGGATGGAGAGGCTGTGCCCAACACTTGCAGATTTTGGCAGATTTGGGTGCTGGAGTTTGGTCAGTCTCAGCTGAGAGCCTTTGCTGTGGCTTCAAAAATATATATTTGCATATGTAATATAATAATATATACTAATATTAATATTTAAATTATACTAATTTTTAATTCTACTATATTATTACTAGATCAATATACTATTAATATTTAAATTATACTATATAATATGAATATAATAATATTGATATATATTATATATGTATATGTATTATATAATATATGTTATATATTATATAATAATATCATATAGTATAATAATATTATATATAATAATATTAATATATTTCATATATTTTTAGATATATATTTGCACGACACAGCAAAGGCCCTCAGCCATTATTATATAATAAAAATATAAATAGAATTATTTAATATAATTATATAATAGATAAAATATCTATAATGATATATATTATATTAGTATATTAATAATAATAGATTATAATATAATATAAATAATATTATATTATTATAGATAATATACATTATGTAATATATATATTCTATATAATTATAATATATAATATCAATAT